TTAATAAATGCATACGCAATATCTTTATTTAAAAACACAAACAAAATACATGCAATACAAATGCAAACAAAATTTTTTCTTCTTTTATGCAAACGAAGCAACAACAATGCACATTAAAAACGTTTCCAAATCGTTTAGTTTGGCAAACGCTAAAAAACCACTACCTTAGGAAAATGATCACTAAAAAGACCACTACCTTCGGCAAAAGATAACTAAAATTAGCACTACCTTCGTGAAAAGATCGTTATAAAGAGCACTACCTTCGTGAAAAGTACACAAACTCTAAAAATAATGTTTGTGTTCGCGGACACAAACTTTAAAAATTTTTTGATGTGTTTCGGACATGAGCAGTACACTACGATACTGTACTGTTTATTTTCGTTCACTGCTTAAAACTAATATAATGGATCTTGTAACAAAACTTTCTACGTAAAGAGTGTTAGAGTTGCAGCATAGCCAAAAGTCACATACAATTAAATTTTTTTTTTATATTGTGTTCACATTAAATTCAATTCACTAAAGTAAATAAAAATCTAAATTCATTTACGCAGTTACTTTCTATCCGTGCCGTATTGGCCGTTTTATTTTCTTTCAAAGTTGAAAAAAAAAATGCATTAAGTCTGATTGAAACAATTTGGCATCAATATTAAAGTAAGTCAAAGACATCTATTTGTTTTATTGTTGTGTACAATACAAAAAATAAATATTGTAAACACTAAAAATTAATTAATTTAAATAAAAGAAAACAAAATGAATAATAGATGGGCAATGGTAACCATTTTCTATCTTATTGTTTTGATACGAGTATGTTGCAATTTGTTATTGTTTCTGCTCATATGATTGTGACTGATGTGAACATTCACAATAAATTGATTTTTTAATTTGCTGCACTGTAACTTAGGACGCAAAATTTTTTGCCAGTAAAATCTAAGTCTGAAGATTTTAAGAACATTGTCGTTGTTTCACATGTTTACTTTCGTAAGCTGTGAGTATATTTTTGCAATTACGAATGAAAAAAATACGGTTACTATACCATATGATCAAAAAGTTTCAATCAATTGTTGTTGATGTTACACAAAATTTCCTTATAAAACTTTATATGATTATCTCAAAATTTGACGGATAGACAGAATTAAAACCTTTAATTTATTTGCCATGCTATAATTAATATATCCTGATTTGTGGTATTCGTTATCTTCTTCTATCTGCTTCGTGAACATATCGAATGTACTTTTATACGCAATAGCATATAAAGAATAAAAGTAAATCATTGTTGTTATTTATTGTTATTTATTTATTCATTGAATATAAATTTTTAATTTTGATAATGTATAAAATTATATATTTATATTCACATTGTAAAAAAATCAAAATTATTAAATAAAAAAATCTTGTAGATACTCCTGAAGATGTTGAAAAAAACCAACGAAACGTCGGGTGAAAAAACGAAATAAATTAATTTTTTATTTGCATTCCATTAAAAAGACTAGAGTAGCTTAATGAAAATTATAACTTAAAAAACAAAACGTACTGGTTAAAAAACATCATCATTAAAAGCAATTTGTATTTTCTTTGATGCTTTTTTATGCGCAGTTAAATATACATTTGTATATATATATATAATATATATATATATAAATAAATTTACATGAATAATTATATATGTATATATAAATAGTGAAGTACATATGTATGTATATTGAAACTTTAAATTTAAATTTTGTTTCAGATATCTTGAAGGCAATACACCTGGTAGAGTACGTGAGCTGCTGCCGGTGTTTGATGCGGCTGGTTTCTGTAAAGTAGCTCCACCCACAAGTAAGCTAATTAAACCACCACGGTCATGAGTTCAACCAAATTAAAGCTTTATTGAATAAAACAACAACTCAATCTTTTGAAAAACGGATGCCAGCTCAACGAATTAATTGGGTGTTTTTTAATTAATATTAATATGCCATATATAGAACTATCAATTACTTTGGACTTTGATACTACCATTAACTACTTATTGGAATTGCTTAATTGGACAATAAAAAAATATTATTGTCTAATAAGTGTGTTTGTACAATTTTATTTTTATAACCACATATAATCTTTTAAATTGTTTTATTAAGTAACAGTGAAATATTAAATATATTGATTAAAAAATTTGAAATAAAAATTTAGTATTAGATAAGTGTGTGTGTATAAATGTAATAATATGTGTACACACACCTGCATATAGTTATGTACGAATTTGAAATTCTTATTCAATACTGAATTTTTATTTGAGCATTTAACAACTTTTATACCTTTTTTACTTAGTTACTAAATTATATTTTTCTTATACTAAAATACAATTTTGTTTTGTTCATTAATTACTTCCAAAGATAAAACACAAGAGTGTTTATTTTTTCAATTTGTAAATATTTAATGATGCACATATATGTACATACATATGTTATCAGTAAAAAGTCGTAACATTTTCTCCCTTTTTGGAGTGACAAACAAAAAAATAATTCTTGTTGCGACATCGAACTGAAAGTCTGGAATCTTTATGTCTCTGAAGTTATACGCGTTCTTTTTTACAGTCAGCGACAAAACTCTACATACACCCCCCATTTTTGCTAGCTCGTAAATCCAAGGACATAATAGAAAAAAGTAATGATACAGTTTTGTTTAGAACTGTTTTTTAATAATAATAAACAAAAGAAAATCCATTCATCAATATAAATTAACAAAGTTATTCGAAAAAAACCTAAAAAAATCATTGACAAAAGTCTACATACACTTCATTGGTTGTTAGATATAGTCGACAGTAATTTAAATGTTAAACGGGAAAGTACCGTTTTTCATATTTCATGCTTGTGGCATGAGTCATACATTTATATAATGCACTTAGTTGTGCTTTGAGAGTGGTATTTAATTGACACGAGGGGTCCACGAAAAGAATTTCAAGTAATATGCGAAATTTGGTTATTAAACATAGAAATGAAAAAAAACCTTATGGTAAAAGTATCAAAATTAGTAAATTTGACTCGATCAACAGTTCAGACGATATTAAAAAAATATAAAAATAGTGGTTCTATTGAAAATAAGCCTCGCAGTGGCCGCCCAAGGATACTCATACGTAGGGATGTCAGCTTGGTTTTAAAAGAAGTTAACAAAAATCCGAAAGTAAGTGCCTTAAAATTAGTCGAACACATTGCTAATGCAACTGGAAAGCATGTCAATCCACGTATAGTACAAAGAACGTTGAACAGCCACGGTTTTCATGATAGAATACCACGCAAAGAACCTTTAATTTCTGAAAAAAACCGAAAGCTGCGCTTGGAGTTTGCCAAACAATATAAAGAAAAGGATTTTGATTTCGGGAAGCAAGTTTTATTTACAGATGAATCCAAATTCAATATATTTGAAAGCGATGGGAGAGCTAAAGTTTGGAGGAAAGCGAAAACAGCACTGAACCCGAAGCATATAATGCCAACTGTAAAGCATGGTGGTGGTAGTGCTATGGTTTGGGGAGCCGTAGCTGCAACTGAAGTAGGAAAAATAGCTTTGACGTAGATTGACATGCTTTCCAGTTGCACTAGCAGTGTGTTCGACTAATTTTAAGGCACTTACTTTCGGATTTTTGTTAACTTCTTTTAAAACCAAGCTGACATCCCTACGTATGAGTATCCTTGGGCGGCCACTGCGAGGCTTATTTTCAATAGAACCACTATTTTTATAATTTTTTATTATCGTCTGAACTGTTGATCGAGTCAAATTTACTAATATTGATACTTTTACCATAAGGTTTTTTTTCATTTCTATGTTTAATAACCAAATTTCGCATATTACTTGAATTAATTAAATACCACTCTCAAAGCACAACTAAGTGCATTATATAAATGTATGACTCATGCCACAAGCATGAAATATGAAAAACGGTACTTTCCCGTTTAACATTTAAATTACTGTCGACTATATCTAACAACCAATGAAGTGTATGTAGACTTTTGTCAATGATTTTTTTAGGTTTTTTTCGAATAACTTTGTTAATTTTTATTGATGAATGGATTTTCTTTTGTTTATTATATAAAACAGTTCTAAACAAAACTGTATCATTACTTTTTTCTATTATGTCCTTGGATTTACGAGCTAGCAAAAATGGGGGGTGTATGTAGAGTTTTGTCGCTGACTGTATATTTTGCTTCACTTTGTACACTGTGCTCTGTTTCAAACATTTCTGACGTGACTCATAGCTGATCTTTGTAATCATGCTTCAAATTCCAAAGTATAATTTTATTATTTATTTATAATTATATATTCTCGTTGTTACCCATTCGGTTTGATATAAAAGTCTTTAGGTCTTGTCGTTGATTGGTATAATCATAGTACATACCATATAACAATACTGGTTTCACTTGTTTCACCGATCATGATGCATTGACATCCCCCTTTGAGATTGTATTCTAATAATAAGTCTCTGTTAAAAACATAGAATTATGAAGAATGTAATTTGCGTCTGTTAAAAAAATCATAAGTTGTGATAAGGGAATGGAAAGAAAATAATTGTACTGTAACGACCTTTCTATGGCTGGGGTATACTTAGCGAGTAAACCAGGGTTCGTTATAAGAAATTTATTTAAGTAAAGAAGGATACACTTGTGTTCCATGTTTTTAAAATAACATTTATTCGTACCTTTACAAAAGAAAATATTGGAGTTATAAGTAGTAATAAAATTAAGAGTATGAGTGTTGGAAGCGTTGTGTTCGTCGAAATCGTTGAGCTCGTTGTAGTCGTCTACAGTGTGGAAAACGTTGAAAAACGTTGATGCCGCTGTGATTGATGTGAAGTGTTGATATAGTGGTGGCCGTTGGAAAGTATTGAAAATGTCGGGAACGCAAAAATCAGTATTGTAACGCCTTGCAATGAAAGAAATTCCAAATAGCAATGGAGTAATGTCAAATGCGTAAGCGTTGTACGCGTTGCAATCGTTGCGAGCGTAGAAATCGTTGAAATCGTTGTTGTATTACAATCGTTAGAAGCGTTGTATGCGTTGCAATCGTTGCGAGGCGTTGGAATCGTTGTGATCAGTAGTGTAAAACAAACATGGCAATGAAAGAAATTCAAAATAGCAATAGAGTAGAACGCTTGGAAAAGAGTAATCTTACTATCAATTCAATAAAATCCTTGTCAGCTATAGCCAGACAAGGATCCCTTCCTGAGGTTGCGCCTGACCACGCTTGCCAGCAATTGCCAAACGCTCGTAGTCCACACGCCTTCGAACAGTGTTGGTGACTCGTCGTCCATTCCTCCATCAGCTACGGCCAAATGGAAGTCTGGATGACTAGTTAAATTACCCTACGACAGCACATGCCAAGCAGAAGGTAACTCAACTGGCTAAATTGCTCTACGCTAGCATCAGCCAAGCAGAAGGCAATTCAACCACCATCACTTCGCCCAAACCAGTTTATCCATGCACATCGTGATCGTCAGCAATGGCCAAAAGAACCGTATATGCCTGGACCAACTAGTCTGAGCTCCCACTGTCGTTCCTAATAGAATTGACTTACCTTGCAATGAAAGAAATTCCAAATAGAACGACTTGGCAATTTCGCTGCCCTTTTATTTGAAATTCTTTCCATTACAGGCAAAAACAAAATTATTTTCATGTAAACAGAGTCCCGTAAATTTGTCAAAACAAATTTCTTATTGTTGTACGCATTGCAATCAAATTTAATAAAAATAACTGCATCACATAAAAAATGCGTGCATATTTTTCTTAAATTCGTTTATGCAGACAAACAAGAGAAATAGTTACAACAAATTGAACTAACTTTTATTAGCTGCAAAAAAAACTAATCAGAACATATTTCGGATTACAGGGTCATTTGTTTATAAAAAATATTTGTTTTTAGTATGAAATTTACAGGGTCATTAATCTATTAACAATTTAATTTAATATGGTAAAAAAACTCGTTACATGTAACTATCAATTTAATTTGTGGGATTAAATTTTACTGTAAAATTTGGGCTTTACAGTACAAACATATTGTTGTGAATATGGAATTTAAATAATCTTTGATATAATTGCTGGGAATGTCAGTATAGTTGAAAAATAAGTTTTGATATATATTGTGGTTATTAGAAAAAAGTGTGTTTGTGTTTGAGAAAATACAGGGCATAATAAATACGGTTGCATTAAACTCAAGTTGACTATTAATTACTTATCAGGATCCAGTGATCGCGAACGACCACGTAAACAAGGTAGAACAAACACAGCAATAGGCCTTTTCGGTGGCTCGCAAGTACGGCAAAAAGCAGCAAGTTACTAATGTAAACTGGCCGAAATGTACATAAAACAACAACACTATTATCTCTACTTCGGCCAGCATAGGTTTACTGGCCACAAAGAGCAGTCAGTAAAAAAAAAGTGTTACCAACGCAATAAGCGAACAATTGTGAGCCTTCATTGGAAATTCCAACGAATATTGCCATCATATGTCAAATATTATATGTAAATAAAAATTCAAACAGAATTCAAAAATTTTATAAATCTTAAAATTGGAAAATAAGAAAAATTTCAGTGTTTTATTTTAAAATTGAAACTGTTCTGCCATTTTTGTTTTGTTGCAAGCAAATATACATAAGGGGTATTTACTCTCTCTTGTTAACTCATTGCAAGGAGCATGAAATGTAAGAATGCTATACAAAAACTGCAAGACTGCGAGAACTCCTCTGTTACAGAATTGCATCATCAAAATGAAACAGCTGTTTTTGCAGTCGTATCACATTGAGCAAAGAAAAATAAAAGTATAACAATGCCGCGAACAAGTGAAATACAAAAATGTATAGATTTTTTTATTGAAAGTAGTGCTTTTAATATTCTGATTGAAGGTATTAACATGTTGTTAATGTAGTTTTCACAACTGTATAGTTTCTTTTTGTTAGATGATGCAAATTACTGGGAAGTGATGGAGCAATTAAATGAAGACCTTTTGTTTACTTTAGTAAACCATCACGGAAATCACGAACCCGTACCAAAATCTATTCAATGGAGATCTACCATTCTTTAAGAATTTGATGAAGGCCGTTTTC